GGGTACCTGTGCCTCAATAAAACAAACAAAAACCAATTATTATTCACATTAGAAATGTGCCTATAGTTATTTTATTTCATACTTATTAAACATATTTTATACAGAAGATAACTGGTATTTCCACTGCCAGGTATTTGACAGAAGAAATGTAAACACGTGTCCACAAAACAGATTTTTATAAGAAGGTTTAGAGTCCTTTTATTCGTAATAGCCAAAAACTGGAAACAACCCAAATGTCCATCAAGAGAATGGATAAAAGACTGTGGTAACTTTAAACAGCAGAACATACTCAGTAATTACAAAGAATGAACTGTTGCTAACCTCCGACATTAATCTCCTAGGCACATGCTAAGCAAAAGAAGCTGAACACATGTGTGATTCCATTTGCATGAAGATCTAAAACAGGCTAACCTAAAAGTCAGAAAAGGGATTGCAGAAGTGTGTGGTGCTGACTGGGAAGAGGCACAAAGGAAGGTACCAGGATGATGCGAATGTGCCAAATCTCACCAAGGGAGTGCACGTGTGCCAAATCATCTAATGGTATACAAGATTTATATATTTCCTGGTAGGAATTTTAAAAACAGCCTGTGCTAAGGGGTCTGTAGGAAATAAATAAACTTCTCTCAAACGTTTTCTTAGGGACACTAATCCTAAGAGATGTGTCATATAAAACAAAAGGTTCCACAAGATAAACAAGTTTGGGGAACATCTGATCATATTCTATCTCTAGGAAATACATAATGCATAGCAAGACAAAGGTATTGATAATCCAGGACCCAGAAAAACTTTATTAAATCTAAAATAAAAAAGCTTACTCTTGAGCTTATTTCAAAAGAATTTTTTTTCTAATTTATCATAAATCCAGGCATCTAGAAAGACAAATAACACTCTTAAAATTGACAGTGCCAACTTCTGACAAGAAAAGAAAACCAGAAACTAATTGAAACAGACCTGAGTTTTGGAAGAAGATGTTGAAAGTTAATTTTAATGACAGCAAAACTGCCAAGTCATCTTTAAAGTTTTTGTGGGAAAGTAACCCTGAACAAAGTTTTTTAAAAAATTGTGTGATTAGGGGTGCCTGGCTGGCTCAGTCGGTAGAGCATGCAACTCTTGATCTCAGTGTTGTAGGTTCAAGCCCCACGATGAGTATAGAGATTACTTTAAAACAAAATCTTAAAAAAAAAAAAAAAAAAGAATCCACTACAATGGAAACATTTCATTCTAAAAAACAAATTGTACAATTGGATTATATTAAAGTCCTTATGGGGATCCTTATTTATTACTTTAAATATTAATTAATGTTCATTGCTTCCAATAAGACCTATTAGATTGTAGCTTTATTCTCAGGCAGCTAGTCATGATTTACTTTCCTCCCATAATAGGAACTGTAAAAAATTTTATACGGTAACTGAAGGAACAGCCTAAAGTGTCTGTGTAAAGTAAGAGCATCTATATGCTTATTTGCAGATCTTTCAAAATAGTGAGTTCTGTAAAACAGGATCCTCTATCCCTTTTGCAGCAGGAGAGAAGAACTGCAGAAGATCAAGGAGTTACAAATCTACTTTAGAGAAGGGACCTTAGCAAACACTCATTTCATTTTCCAATGAGGAAACAATGTAAATTTTCTTTCTTAAGTTTTTATTTAGGTAATCTCTACACCCAACGTGGGGCTTGAACTCATGACCCCGAGATTAAGAGTCACATGCTCTTCCAACTGAGCCAGCCAGGCACCCCAACAACGTAAACATTTGAGTGGTTTTCCTAAGCAGTAGTTTATAAGGATGTGCTCTCGGTCGGATGATTCTACCATTTCCCCTGCACCTCTCTCCAAGCACACATTCTCACACGGCACAATCCACACCCTGCTCAGTCCCAGACTAGCTGTCGGACCCTGGAAGAGACAGGCTGGCTGAGCCTATTTCTTCATCTACAAAATGTGAATAATTATATCAATCTCACAGAGCTATAGCGAAGATAAAAATGAGATTAAAAATTAGAATGTACTATAGCCATGGTCAGGGCTCACTAAGTAGGAAAGGAAGCTTCTCCACATTAGACATTCTGAGTGTGTTCTACCTTCAGTAGGAGAAAACCGGTAAGTCCTGCAGAGCCAAAGACCAATGCACTCCATACAATCACTGCTCCACTAACGAGCAAAGTATAAGTACGCTGCCCTACTTGTCATGTGAAGATTTGGAAGCAACTCAAACTGACATCTATAAACAAATATAAACAAACACACATGAGAAGCAAAGACTAATTTCACAAAAAAGCACATAATAATAAAAAGCATTAGGGGCACCTGGGTGGCGCAGTTGGTTAACGGTCTGACTCTTGGCGTCAGCTCAGGTCAAAATCTCAGGGTTGTGAGATCGAACCCTGTGTCAGGCTCCGTGTTCATTGGGGAGTCTGCTTGAGATTCTGTCTCTCCCTCCCCTTCTGCCCCTCCCCCTCTCTAAAATAAATAAATAGATCTTTTTTAAAAAATAATAAAAAGTGTTAATCTATAATCGTTCTTTCTTAAAATGGTGAGGCAAAAAGAGATGAGGAAAACAAATAGGAAAATGATTACAAGTTCATCCCTATGTTAACAGAATCAGTATCTCACTGAAAGTGAAGTTTTCTATATTTTGTCTATGCAGACCAATTTTTGCTCTAACATTATTTCTCCACTCAGAAATACCTTGTTCTTTTTCTAATTTTAAAAAGTCTTCTTCAATGTGCTCAAGCTGTATCTTTCCAAACTCATCCACTACAAACATGAAGTCAGTTTACATTTTATTCTCCCTCCTGATGTCCTTGACTTGATGTCCCTTTCTCTCTAAAATTGTTATGAGCGGGGGCGCCTGGGTGGCTCAGTTGGTTAAGCGACTGCCTTCGGCTCAGGTCATGATCCTGGGGTCCCGGGATCGAGTCCCGCATCGGGCTCCCTGCTCAGCAGGGAGTCTGCTTCTCCCTCTGACCCTCCTCCCTCTCATGCTCTCTGTCTCTCATTCTCTCTCTCGCAAATAAATAAATAAAATCTTTAAAATTGTTATGAGCGGTCATGAGCTAAGAGTATTCCACATATAGATTAGCTCTAAAGCATTCAAATGAATTATTAAAGTTGACTTTTTTTTTTTCAAAGTCATAATATGAATATCATACCAGATGGAAGATCATCCAAGGGAAATTCAAACAGTCTGGACTTGTAAACTGAATGAAAATGGAAATCCTCCTGAAAGAACACAAATAACCAAGATTAAGCACATGCAACCAGTTATCTCCAGTCTCAGGCAATGAGAGCTGAAGAAGCTGAGACTCCTAAAATAACCACAGCTTGACTACGCACTCTACTGGATTTGAAAAGGCAATGGGCCAGGGCACCTGGGTGGCTCAGTCGGTTAAGCGGCTGCCTTTGGCTCAGGTCATGATCCTGGGGTCCTGGGATCGAGCCCCACGTCCAGCTCCCTGCTCAGCAGAGAGCCTGTTTCTCCCTCTCCCTCTGCCTGCCACTCTGCCTACTTGTGCTGTCTCTCTCTCTGTCAAATAAATAAATAAAATCTTTAAAAAAAAAAAAAGAAAAAGAAAAGGCAATGGGCCACTGCACAACCCTCTCCTGCTCCCAGATTCCCCCAGCACCAGAGAGCTCTCCTATTAGAAACAAAATGCCTCTGCAGACAGAGAAGCCAAAGCCTCTAGTAATGGAAAATAAATGAATGAACCTATTTCCCCAAGGAGAAGTAACACATCTGGGAAAATGGGCTAATGCTTTTTATAACTGGTTCCTTTCCATGGATCCCTGCACCACTTTTAGAGCCAGATAGTTTTGCCAGGCAAAGATTGCAGAGCTCACACTCGTCTCGTATCGGGGAGTAAGATGACTGGTAGAAGTAGATGCCCAAATGGACCTTGCTCCAAAATTCAAATGTCATACAAGTTCTGTGACAAACCAACAGACAAAAAGCCATGTTTCATCTAAGAAAAATTAATGAACATTCAAATAATTATTTCTGGCTCCTTTCAATCAAAAAAAAAAAGAATGTCATAAACAGTCAAGTTTCATGATATTATTGTAAAAAACTTCACCTGTCCAAGCAAAGTGATATAAAAGTCAACAGTAAGCATCCAGAAAATACAATATAATACAAATAGCTTCCCCTGGGCACGTGGGTGGCTCAGTCAGTTAAGTGTCTCCTGGGGTCCTGGGATTGAGCCCCTCATAGGGCTCCCTGCTCAGCGGGAAGCCTGCTTCTCCCTCTCCCACTCCCTTTGTGTTCCCTCTCTTGCTAGTCTCTCTCTGTCAAATAAATAAAGTCTTTAAAAAATATATAAAATAAAAAAATAACAACAACAACAACAACAAAAGCTAAAAACAAATCACTTCCCTTTATGGGAGGCAAAACAGTGTATATTTTTAGAAATTACTTGCCTAAGTGAACAATGTTGAATACAAGGAAGAATATCTGTGTGCACAGAGCAAGAATGGAAGTGTATTATGTTTCTCTGCAGTCTACAATATAAACTCAATGCTTTTCTAATTTGTGGAAAATGCATGTTGCAACTAAAAGGAAGGAGAGAATTAAGAAAACTTAGATTTCCCTACATTTCATCAGCACAAGGCCCTACAGACAATGGGCAACAGAGAAAAATCTGAAATCTAGAAAAGAGCGGTGGAAAATCACATTTCTATTGAGTTGGTCTGTTAGAGACTGAATGTTTGTGTCCCCCCGCAAAACCCATATGTTTAGGCCCTCATTCCCAATGTGACTGTATTTGGACAGGACCTATGAGACGGCAATAAAGGTTAAAATAGGTCTTCAGGGTGGGGTGGGGCTGGTGCCCCTATAAAAAGAGACACCACAGCTCTGTCTCTCAGCTATGTGGGCACACAGCAGGAAGGAGGCCATCACAACCCAAGGACAGTGCCCTCAACACACACAGACTCTGCCGGCACCTGGATCTTGGACTTCCAGTCACCAGAACTGTGCGAAAATAAATTTCTGTTGTTTAAGCCCCCCACTATATTGTTATGACTGCCTGAGCAAACTAAGACAAATCATAGCACATTATAGTGGAGAAAGAACAAAAATGGAGGCTTCAGAACACCTCAGAAAGTATTTCCAATATACAGAGTAAAACAGACTTAAAAAAAAAAAACCCAGTATTAATTTTATATATATGGGATATATTTATATTTATTATCCTGACCCTAAAAATAAGAAAATAAAATAGAGACAAAAAGAGGAGGAAAAAAGAAGGGGAAAAGCTCCCAATATCAATTTTTACATTTGCCACAGAAAACAGAAGGAGCACTTACTTGGGAGGTGTCATTTTCTTCTGGTTCAATGAGATAGGTGTGGTTCCCATCATAGAACATCCCACTGCCAAGGACAAGAAAATAATTACGCATGGCTATCGACTCTTGCCTCAGAACAAGATCATTTTAAAATCAGCCGCTGCCAGAGAACTAATTTACTTCTCAACACTCACTTCCCAGTCCCACCCATCACCACCAGATACACACCACATACCATACATACACAGACACACACACACACACTCCACACACACACACACACCACATACAGATTACATACCACACACCATACCACACACATCCCCAAAACTATACCCCACATACGCATAAAAACTGCACCATACCATACATGTGTGCACACACACACACACACCACTAAGAGGGAAAGGCCCCTCCCTCTGAATCCCCATAATCCTGACCCTTCCCCAAGTTCAGGAGTATGATTCTATAATTGTGGTCCATTATCCTCCCTCCAACACATAATTTTTTTTTTTTAAGATTTTATTTATTTATTTGAGACAGAGAGAATGAGAGAGACAGAGAGCACATGAGAGGGGGGAGGGTCAGAGGGAGAAGCAGGCTCCCTGCTGAGCAGGGAACCCGATGCAGGACTCCAGGATCATGACCTGAGCCAAAGGCAGTGGCTTAACCAACTGAGCCACCCAGGCGCCCTCCAACACATAATTCTAAAACTTTAATATGCAAATAGTCATCTGGAGAGCTTGCAAAAATGTAAAACTTTCAGGGCCTTCCTCAGATTTCTTGGCGAGGGCCCAGGAAGCTGCATTTTAAACAAATCCCAGGCAGTTCTGATGCAGACCATCAGGGCTCTATCGAGAATTGCCTTCCTACCACACACCTAGAAGATGCTCTCGTCACAAGAGGTGACACATTTCAACAGCTTACCAGGAGCTGAAAACTTTACACTCATTTCATCTTTCCACAAATGTGTGAAGGAGGTACACTCATACATTTGCCTATACTCATTTTACAGGGAAGGAAACCAAAGCCCAAAGAAATGAAGTAACTTGCCCAAATTACATAACTGGGAGGAACAGAGGCAGGGAGAGAGCGAGCCCAGGCAGATTGGTTCCTGAATTGCCCATCTCCAATTGGCTGCCTCTTCACCCATTTGCTCATTCAGCGCACACTTAAGCACCTACGATGCACTGCTCTAGGTGCTAGGGATACAGCAGTGGACAAAAGAGACCAATTCTCTGCCCTCATGGTGCTGATGCACATTCTAGGGTGGACAGACCAAAAAAA